TATGTATGTATGTATGTATGTATGTATGTATGTATGTATGTATGTATGTATGTATATGTAATAGCACTAAAGCTGATTAATTTTCAGATGGGAATGCCTGGAGTTTACGTTGTTCCGCAAGGCATGGAAGACATTGTTGATTACGTTAAGAAGACATACAATAACATACCTATATATGTAACTGAAAATGGTGAATTATATATCTCCTTCATTAAACTCGTCGAAATATTTATTACTCATGAATCTCATGTTCGGCTATTGAATCACATATATAATTGAAGTTAGGCTGTGATACTTCATGCAGGATACGCTTCAAACGAGAATCAAGGAGGAGGATATGACTTGGATCAAGACATGAAGCGAATTAAATATCACAAAGCATACCTAGCATCTTTGGCTCGTTCAATCAGGTATCGTTTCCATTCTTAAAATTTTCCACTTTGTATGGACCGTGAATATGGATCGTAGAGTCCATGTCCAAGTTGGAATTCAATTATATGAACTTAAGGAGTTTCTAAGAGTTTGAATAATATTACGTATCTGAGTTTTATCAGGCACAGAGTTTGATAATGTTTAAAAAAAAAACAAATTGAATCGTTTAAGTAAAGAGTATCCTTTGAATTTTATGGTGTTAAAACTTAAATATGCTATGTCATTCCTATAAGAGACTATCAATAACGGTAAAACGAGAATGTAAACTGCTAAACATAGGAAGATGATATTTTTATAGAAAATAAGACATAAATTGAAACGAATGGAGTACCTTACAACATCTTTTAATAAACAAAGCTCGTTAGATCTAAAATATAAAGACTGATCTGTTACATGTTAGGGACTTGGATCAATACCAAAGTTAACATCTGTTGTATCTTTTTTCTACATTTTCATATGCTTACTTCATTGTCATTTTTTCTCTTTCAAAATTTTTGTGATGAGCAGGAATGGTGCGGATGTGCGTGGTTATTTCATATGGAGCTTGATGGATAATTTCGAATGGAGATTTGGTTACACCATTAAATTTGGGCTTTATCATGTCGATCCTCTCACGTTGGATCGAAGTCCAAAACTGTCGGCCCAATGGTATAAAAACCTCCTCACTAACAGTAGCCTCAACAGTATACAAGCAAAGGGCTCAATATAAAACATTTTTTCAGACTAGAATCGCGAGTGTGTATTTAATGAGGTAGGACCTATGTAGTACGATTGAGATACTCCAAAATTTTTATGTATGAATATTACATAGTAATAAAAGCCCAAGTCAAGTAATAAGTAGGGGATCAGAAATAATTATTATTTGGAGGTTTATTGTTGGGCGTATTTATAATTTAGCTAATTACATTCTGGAGCTACTAATTACTTGCTATGAGATGTATGTCGTTGTATTAAATTCGATTGTATACAATGTATTCAATTCGGATATATTCGTTCTTATTTATTTTATATTGTATTCAATTTCACTATATTGAATTTAGTTGTATTCAAACAATAAAAAATCAAAAATGGGATGTAACCGATCTATTCAATTCGGCTATGTACATTGTATTCAATTCAGATATATTCATTCTTAACTGTTTTACGTTGTATTCAATTTTACTGTATTCAATTCGATTGTATTCAAGCAAAAAAAATAGTGATATTTAGCTGTATTCAATTCACTATATTCATTCATAATCACTTTTACACTGTATTCAATTTATTTTATTTAATTTGGTTGTATTCAAACAATAAAAATTCAAAAAATATAGGGATCTGCCACAAAATATAACTTTTAGAATACATAAATGCATGCGAAAATAAAAATAAATTGTATTTGCTTTTAAAAATATAAAATACACTCAAATTTAAGTGTATTTGTACAGAATACAATGTGTTTGAATTATTGTATGTTACTCAATATCAAAAAAGAGAAGAAAGTTCGCCAGAGAAGACGTCTTCCGGCCAAGCAAAACACTGTATCTTGTATTAAAACTAAAAAAGGAGACGAACAAAAATTCGACCAGATCTGAGAATACACTATCACATTGTATCTACCAAAATATAGTTAGACGAACCAAAAATGCGGCCATAATGTGTATTTTGTTGTATTTAATTCGGCCACACAAAATAAAATTGTGACGACCCGGCTAGTCGTCTCATGAGTTACCTCTCCGTTTCCTCCATTTCTGCTTCTTATTGCTTTGTTTATCGATTCTATGTGTGATCGGGTTGGTTGGCTCAGGTTCGAAAAGGTTTTGGTAAGGTTTGAGACACTTAGTCTCTTTTGAGAAAGCTTAAGTTGGAAAAGTCAACTGGATGTTGAATTATGTGTTAGAGGGCTTAGATGTGAGTTTTGATGGTTCGGATATCTTCGGGAGGCGATTTGGGGCTTAGAAGTTTGATCGGAATGTGTTTTGGAGGTTCGGAGTAGATTTAGGCTTGAATTGGTGAAATTGAATTTTTGGCATTTTCCGGTTGATAGGTGAGATTTTGATATAGGAGTCGGAATGGAATTCTGGCAGTTTCAGTAGTTCCGTTGTGTCATTTGGGACGTGTGTGCAAAATTTCAGGTCATTCGGACGTGGTTTAGTAGAGTTTTTGATCAAAAGCATAATTTAGAAGATTTTGGAATTCTTAGGCTTGAATCCGATGCGAATTTGGTGTTTTGATGTTGTTTTGAGCGTTCCGAAGGTATAAACAAGTTTGAATGATGTTATGGGGTATGTTGGCATGTTTGGTTGAGGTCCCGAGGGCCTCGGGTCAGTTTCAGGTGGTCAATCGGACCATTTCATGTTTTGAAAAAATGCAAAAAACTACTGTTCAGTGTTGTAAAGAAATGACCTTCGCGTTCGCGAGTAGGCACTCTCGTTCACGAAGGGTTAACAGATGAGGCTGAGGATTTAGCCACCCCGTTAGCGAGGAAGGCTCCGTGTTCGCGAAGGGCTGGGGTCGTTGTGTATCGCGTTCACGAAGGAGGCTCCACGTTCGCGCAGAGGAAGTTGGGCAGCTGGGTTTGAGGTTGATTTGTTCATCGCGTTCGCGAGAAGGGGAGCGCGTTCGCGAAGGTCGGGCTCACAAACCATCGCGTTCGTGAGGTACTGGACGCGTTCGCGTAAGAGGAAATTTGGTCAAAGTTGGATTGTGCTTCGCGAACGCGAGGCGTTGACCGCGTTCGTGAAGAAGGTTTGGATGTCTGGGCAGAATGTTTAAATAGCCATCTTGTCCGCGATTTTGGGGTTAACTTCCACCATTTTTGAGCGATTTTAGAGATTTTTGAAGAGGATTGAAAAGGGATTCAAGGGGAAACACTTGGAGGTAAGATTTATGGACTTAATACTCGATTCTAATGTGAATTCTACCTAATTAATCATGGAATTTAAGTTTAATATTGAAGAACTAGGTCCTGTAATTGGAGGTGTAGAATTTGGGATTTGATGGGTCGTTTGTGGTTGAATTTTGATGCTTTTGGTATGAATGAACTTAGGGAGTGATAAGGAGTCTATTGATGTAATTTTTATCGAAATCCGAGACGTGGGTCCGAGGGTTGGGTTTGGCCAATTTTGGAGATTTGCGCTGTAATTTGATTTCTTTCGAGTGAGCTTTGTTCCCTTAGCATATTTTGATGGTTTTGCACTGATTTTGGTTAGATTTGGAGCATCCGGAGGCCGATTTGAGGGGCAAAGGCATCCCGAGCTAGAGATTTGGATTAGGTAGAGGTGAGTAATGATTTTAAATGTTGTCCTAAGCGTATGAAACCCCGGATTGTACATCGTGGTGCTATATTGAGGTGATGCACACGCTAGATGATGAGCGTGTGGTCGGGCTCCGTTGGGGATCGTGACTTAGTTCATCCCGAATGACTATTTTATTAGGTATTTGATTGAAAACTATTTGCTATCATCATGTTTTGGGCTGAATGCCTTATTTGGGCCTCGTGCCAACTATTTGGACCCTTAGGGAATTTTTACTGATATTTCCTCACTGTTTTGATTTTATACGTGTACTCAGTCATGCTATATTCTGCAGTATTCATAACTCAGCCATGTTTACTCTGCTTTAACACTTAAAATAATATTTTAAATGATATTTTGGGCTGAGCATCATGTTTTACTGTTGCCCGAGTGGCTTGTGAGATTCTGACTGAGTAAGGCCGAGGGCCTATGTTGTGAGGAAACACCTTATTATGATTATGAGGCCGAGGGCCTTAGATTTGTACGTCACGTGGTGACTTGTTGATATGAGGCCGAGAGCCTATGTGATTATGCCACGAGATGGCTTGATATTGTGCATGGGACGTTAGGGGCCCCTCCAGGAGTCTGCACACCCTCAGTAAGCACGGGTACCCATTGTGATGTGAGATATAGCCCGAGAGGCTGGTATTGTTCCATGTGTTGCCCGAGTGGCTGATTTTGTTGGTATTGTGCCCGAGGGGCGGTTCTTTATGTGTTTATCTTTCCTAATTGCCTGTCGTTTACTTGCTTAACTGTTAAAAAGGCATTCCAAAGAAGTTTTAACTGAACTAAAGTGACTTTACCTATTTTTCATTGTTTCGTTGCTTTTACTGGCTTTTACTACTTTTTTATAGTCTGTTGATGTGCCTTTGTGTGATTTATCTTTCCTAATTGCCTGTCATTTACTTGCTTAACTGTTTAAAAGGCATTCCAAAAAAGTTTTAACTGAACTAAAGTGACTTTACCTATTTTTCACTATTTCGTTGCTTTTACTAGTTTTTACTGCTTTTTTATAGTTTGTTGATGTGCCTTTACGTGATTTCTTATTACTTAGTCTGCATTTATTATTATTACTCACTAAGTTGGAGTACTCACTTTACTCCCTGCACCCCGTGTGCATATTCAGGTGCATCAGGTCCTGCTTGCGAGGGTTGAGAGCTGTCCAGCAGATTCCGGAGATTCACTAGGTAGATGCCCGACGATTCGCAACCCAGTACTTCTCCCTCTATCTTATTTCCTTCTGTTATAGTTATGTAATAGTGGAGTAGACTCTTTCAGACTTGTAGTATTATTATAGATGCTCATGACTGGTGACACCGATGTCGGGCTATGTCTTTTTCCGCAAATTGTATTACTTACCTTATTTTGGGGATTTATTATTATTATTATTATTAAGGCTTAGTTATATTAGTTAATTGTTTAAAAATGAATTGGAAGTGTGTCAACTGGCCTTGTCTTCACGAGAGGCGCCATCACGACCGGGTCCGGGTTTAGGGTCGTGACAAAAATATAGTCAAATCTGAGAAATACACTCAAATTTGAGAAATACACTCTGATCTGAGAAATCCGGTCGGTTAGCCATGGATTCCACCCAGAAATGATTGCTGAGTTGGAGGTAATGACGAGGCCGATCTGGATTGAGGAATTTAAGGAGCTAAATTGAGGAATTTTTATAGATGGTTAGAGAAGAGAGAGTACAAAAGAGAGGAAAAAATAAAAAGAGGTCGGACGACAGTGATCCAGTGGGTTTGGCCGACGGTGGTTCTCCGGAGAGATTGTAACACCCGAGAGATAGAGAGTTTAAGGGAGACAGAGGAGGCAACTAGGTTACAGTAAGAAGGAAAAAGTTACTTTAGGGTTGTGATGATTCGATAGGTCATTTAATTTGTAGTTTAACCCTCAATTCTGTGTTTCAAAATCCTAAATAGCTCTGTTAAATCTTTTTCGATTTGCGTGCGCATTCCATGTCGTTTTCCGAAATGTTCTTATGTGAAAAATTGAAGAAAGTGTGAAATCGTGCCTTATAACTCAATTAAGTATTCGGTCAATATTTTGAGTAAACGGACCTAGATCAGTATTATGATGGTCCCGATAGGTCCATATCGTGATTTTGGACTTGGACGTATGACCGGAATCGTATTCGAAAGTCCCTAGCTCGAATTATTGCAATCTATTGAAAATTAGAAGCTTGAAGGTTTAAAGAATTAATAAGTTTGACCGTAGTTTGACTTTGTTTCTATTGGGTCCAGATTTTCGTTTCGGAACTTGGTATAAGTTCATTACCATATTTATGACTTATATGTAAAATTTGGTGCAAAACAGAGTTGATATGACGTAATTCGGACGCCCTATCGAAAAGCTGCATTTTCTTAATTAAGTTTCATTGAAAATATCTTCCCTTATATTATCATTAATAAGATGCTTAATTGTTACCTTAAACTATGCTAATATGCTTTTCACTCCTAAATATGGTGGAGCTGATCAACAGGAGGGAGGTTCGGAGCTGTGAATCCAGCTGGAATCAAGTTTTATAATAATGTTGATCACGCCCAACTATACCTTATAAAAAGGGCAAAGCGGTCGTTGCAAATATAATTCGGTTTACAAGTCCGGAGTTGAATCCCACGTAGAACTTAGGTTTAGCTACAATTGTTCACTATCACCAAGAATACAAGCT